GTGTGCGTGTGTTTGTGTATGTGTGCGTGCATGTGTGTGATGCCCACAATGATTGTGAGCTAACTCACGAATAGCATAATTATGTTCAGTTATGAACTAGCTGTTTGTTTGTTTGTTTGTTTGTTTGTTTGTTTGTTTGTTTTTGGTAGATGCTTCACGGCGCTGGCAACTGCATAAGTTCATATGAGCGCGCAGGACACACCAAACATTTTCAGTTGTCAGGAAATTTTGAATTTTGCCCGGGTGGCAGCCGAAGCCCACTCTTATTGATTTTGGACCACCATGGGATCTTTTACGTTCGCCATTTGCATACGGGACCTCCGAGATTTTTCGCCCTTGTTTGAGAAGGCTCGGTGTAGATCTTGCCTACCATAAGATCAGGGGTGTGGCTAAAAGACAGCAGCAAGAAAGAGAAAAGGAGTAGCAGTAGAAAGGCTGCAGAAAGAATTAGGAGCTCAGAGGAGGGGGCAAAGGAGGTGAGGGGGTGGGGGCAGAAGATGGAGGCGTAAGCAGACAACAGAACATTGCTAGAGATCAGGGAAGGAGGTGAAAGGAGACAATTTTAGAGAAGAAATATTTCCGTCGCTATCCAGACTCGAACCTGGGACCTATTGAATAAATGGCGAAGACCTTAAACGTTAGGCCAGAAGAGCCCCCTTAAAGTTCCTGACTGTAATTGCTGATGTTTCACATCCCTTTGACACAATGCTAATCTTTTAGGCGGGCAGTTTTGACCCTGGCTGTCAGGGCCAAACCAGACTAAGAGGGACGCAATTTGTCAGCAGACAGACGGAGATGTCCGATAATAGACTTCTCTACTTGGAATCTGATCTCATTTTTTTTGCACGCGACAGTGAAGTGCCTAACTACTTCACCACAAATGAGAGTTATGCAATAATGTAGTACTCAGAATAATGTGTGTCACAACGCGGTGGGATCAGGCGCTCGTCAATTTTTGGGCATGTGGAGCTATTAGTATCATCTGAAAGCTGATTTTATTTGCCTTGCTTCCAATAAAAAAACCCCCCATCTATCTTAAATAGAGCTCAAGATATTTGTGACTGAAGCAATTAGTGAGGTTGCCTGGTTTCAGCTGTGAATTTAGCGTGAAAATGGTCGCCAAAGTTTGGTTACTCCAATAGCTAAGGATTCTTTGAAAACAAAACAAAAAAGACATATTTTGCATCTTTAATCAGTGTTTTAAGTAAAATTCACATGGAGACAACAGAGGTTGAGC